GGGCGAACGCCATGTAACCAAACCTGCCTGAATTTAAAAACAATTATCCCGGCAAAGCAACCTAACAGCCATGTGTAGGAGCATCTCTGGGTCCTCCTGCTCGTCCTCGTGCTCCTCCTGCTCGTCCTCTTTCTCCTGCTCCTCCTCCTCCTCCTCCTCCTCCTCCTCTTTCTCCTGCTCCTCCTCCTCCTCCTCCTCCTCCTCCTCTTCCTCCTGCTCGTCCTCGTTCTCGTCCTCCTCGTCTTGCTCGTCCTCCTCCTCCTGGTGCTCTCTCCTCCTCCTCCTCCTCCTCCTCCTCCTCCTCCTCCTCCTCCTCCTGGTGGTCCTCGTTCTCCTCCTCCTGGTGCTCTCCCCCCCCCTCCTCCTCGTCCTCCTCCTCCTCCTCCTCCTCGTCCTCCTCCTCCTCTTCCTCCTCCTCCTCCTCCTCCTGGTAGTCCTCCTCCTCCTCCTCCTCCTCCTCCTCTTCCTGGTCGTCCTCGTTCTCGTCCTCCTCGTGGCTCGTCCTCCTCCTCCTGGTGTTCTCTCCTCCCCCTCCTCCTCCTCCTCCTCCTCCTCCTCCTCCTCCTCCTCCTGCTTGTCCTCGTTCTCCTCCTCCTGGTGCTCTCCCCCCCCCCTCCTCCGTCTCCTCTCCTCCTCCTCCTCTCCTCCTCCTCGTCCTCCTCCTCCTCCTCCTCCTCCTCCTCCTCCTCCTCCTCCTCCTCCTCCTCCTCCTCCTCCTCCTGGTAGTCCTCCCCCTCCCCTCCTCCTCCTCCTCCTCCTCCTCCCTGGTCGTCCTCCTCCCTGGTCGTCCTCCTCCTCCTGGTCGTCCTCCTCCTCCTGCTCGTCCTCCTCCTCCTCCTGCTCGTCCTTCTTCTCCTGCTCCTCCTGCTCCTCGTCCTGCTCCTGCTCGTCCTCGTCCTCCTGGTCTTGCTCGTCCTCCTCCTCGTCGTGCTCTTGCCCCTGCTGAAAATGTGGCCCAGGAATAGAAGTTCTGGGAAGTCGAAGAGCACGAAGTTGCCTACAGTTGGCTACGGGCATTCAAAATGTGGCCCGGGAATGGAGTTCTGGGAACTCGAAGAGCACGAAGTGGCCTACAGTTGGCTCCGGGCATTCAAAATGTGGCCCGGGAATGGAGTTCTGGGAACTCGAAGAGCACGAAGTGGCCTACAGTTGGCTCCGGGCATTCAAAATGTGGCCCGGGAATGGAGTTCTGGGACTCGAAGAGCACGAAGTGGCCTACAGTTGGCTCCGGGCATTCAAAATGTGGCCCGGGAATGGAGTTCTGGGAAGTCGAAGAGCACGAAGTGGCCTACAGTTGGCTCCGGGCATTCAGAATGTGGCCCGGGAATGGAGTTCTGGGAGGTCGAAGAGCACGAAGTGTGTGACTGTTGGCTTAAAACGACTTCTGCGGCACCCTGTCCGGCACCCGCCCAGACCCCCCTGTGGAGTGATCTGTGAGCTCTTTTGAGACCACTAGAAACCTATCAGTCTACGCTGTTAGGTAAAAAGCACTTTGGCGAAGGGTCACTCTTACGCGACGCCGATCACGGCGATGCAGCCTCGCCCGCCGCTTCTCGGCGCCGGCGCGGATCACGGTCAGCCTCGCCCGCGCGGCGACGACCCTGCGCCTCTGCTTCTCCGCCCTGCGCTGGGACGCCTCCGCCGCGGGCTGCAGGCTACGCACCACCTCGCAGTTCTCCTTCTCCGATACGTCCATGGCGTGCTGGAAGCTCTGGCTCACCTCGAGTCGGCGGCGAGTGAGGGGGGGAAGTGAGAAGGAGAAGGGCTTCTCAGAAGGCGGTGGGGCTTCTCAGAAGGCCTCTTGCCTTGGGAGAGGTTCTCGGCGTCTTTGGGGAAGGCTTCGAACACTTCTTAGAAGGCCGGGAGACCGCAGAGCCTTCTGAGAAGACCCGCTCCTGCTCACTTCCCCCCCCGGGCTCGCCGCCGGCCGAGGGACAACAGGTTGCACAAGCATAAAATGTCAGGTTCGAGGTCTGCGAAGAACCTCGTCCTCTTCCCCGCGCCGCGTGAATGCATGGGCGTGGCTGCGTGCGCGCAGACGCACATATGTAAGCTCGCTGTGAATCGCCCACCAAGAACGAGCCCGATTCCGCGAACCTCAGCCGCCCCCGTCCCTGGCGGCGAAACCAAGCCCAGGTGATTTGTGTATCTCCGCGCGACGAGGACGGGGTCCAGCGCCGATCCGAGAAATCCGAGCGGACCTCAGAAAGTGGATGCTTTTGCAACTTTTTTCGGGCGCTGGCGGACTGATGGACTGGGTGTAATTGGACATGGTTTAGTGATGTGCACCAAGAGACGACCCCCCCACCCAGCGATTCCACTACCCAAAACTGCCGTCAGCCGGAGAAACGCCAGCTATACGGAAAAGTTGTCCAGAGCCGAAGGCCCAGAGCCGATCCGAGAAATCCGCGTGGACCACGCGAAGTTTACATGTTTATGTCCAGAAACCCCCACCACCTCCACCAACAATGACGACGACGACAACAACAACAGCAGCATAAACATCAACAGCAACAAGAACAACGACGACACCAACGACAAACACAGCAACAACAGCAACAGCAACAACAACAACAGCAAGCGCAACACCACCAACAACAGCATCAAGAACAACACCAACACCAACACCAACACCACCACCAACAACAGCAGCAACAACAACAGCTCCACCACCACCAACAACAACAGCAACATCATCAGCATTATCATCAGCAGCATCAGCATCAGCATCAGCATCAGCATCAGCATCAGCATCAGCATCAGCATCAGCATCAGCATCATCATCAGTATCAGTATCATTATCATCCAAAGCAACACATCGATTATTGAAGCAGGAAGGCGCTTGGAATAGAGTGGGATATGGATCTCCAGAAACACCCACTTTCAACGAACCGCATGTGCATTTATGCCACTTTCTGTTCCTCGGTGACCGTGCAGAACTTCTCCTCCAGCTCTCGGACCTCATGGGACGCCCGAAATTGGTACGGGAAATCTGGGCACGATGCCCAATAACACATCTTGTCCAAAGCCCACAGCGGCCGCTCTCTCGGGCAGCAAGGCCTTCTTTCTCGCATGGACAACGTCCGCGGCCACGCCGACAGCGAGTCCTGTCCAGAGTGGCCAGGAGATGATGCCGGTCTTCGTCCTCCTTCTTTCCGTACGCATCTAGATCGTACCGGACCTCGGCCTGCAGCCGGCGGCACTGCCCCTGCAGGCCGCCCAGCTCCGCGCGCGCCGCCTCTTCCGCGGCCGCCGCGCGCGTCGCCGCCCGCCGCGCGGAGGCGGCGGCCTCGCCCAGGGCCGCCGCGCGCCGCTGCGCGTCCTGCGCACCCGCCTGGGAGGCATGGTGAGGAGGATGATCAAGAGAATGACCATTTGAGAAATCTTGGCCAGCTTCCCGGAGGTCTCTTAAAACAAACCTGGCCCAATGTCTTCTGTTCAGGCTGGAGGAACGAACGTGCTCAAGAGACTGGGCGCCAGCTTACCGGCACACTCGTTAAGAAACGCTGGTCCAGCTTTTCGGGAGGATGCTCTTAACCAGATGCTCGACTGTAAGCACCCCGACAAGCGAAGCCGTCTGGTAACCGCACCCAGGGGAGGGTTCGAACAGGCCAGGGCTGTTCAGCAAACGCCCAAGGCCGTTTAGTAAACGCGAGATATGAGAGTCGCGGTAATGTTTGACCCCCTTGACATTGGGAAGCAACTCCTGCGAGGTTTTCGCAGGAACGACGAAGGCCTCCACCAATTCAGAGTAGGGGGCCGTGAACCAGGGCCAGCTCAGAGATTGGGCCCAGAATGGAGCCAACTTCGGCGGGGCTGAGCAGGCCACTGCGGAAGTGTGCCGCACTTGCCTGGGCTCCGGCCGTGTATCTAACCAGCGGCGGTGCCGAATCTCACGTCGCAGGACTTGCGCCCGAATGGGAGGACGCCGACTGAACTACCCAGACCTTCAGCCTGCGGAGCAACAAAAACAGCGAGGAGACCTTTCACAAATTCGCGCTCCCGACGGGGGCCCTCGCCGACCCCTGGGACAATCTGCCCGGGAAGAACTGCTCGACATCAGCAGGATGCCCAGCCCGCCCTGGCGGAAGGTCAAGACCTCCTGGGAGCCTAAATTGAAGCAGTAAGCCAAGACATCGGATGCTTGGTGTACAGTGGAGGCCAGTCCACAAGTCACCTTCCACGAGAACCCCAACCTTGGGACCCCAAGACGTCCATTGGTTTCTGGTAAGAGCACACCGCGCTTTCCATCGCGAAACCATCAAGACCCAAGAAACCCAGGGCACCCTGGAGGCAAACAGGGTGCTTCTTGGCATGGGCCTCCACCGTGTGAGTGCAAACCTCTACACCGATACTGTTCGGGCCCAGGCTGGGCGCAGGGATGCGGCGTCTACGCCCTCCAGGTCTCCGCGAGCGGGGCACACCGCACCGACCTTCAGCCCCGGGATCGCCCTGGCACACACCAGCGCGGGCGTGTGCAGCTGGGCGTTCCCAGCGAGGGCATACCGCACCGGCCGTAGGCAGGGGGAAATCACCCTGGACAGGACCAGCGCGGGCGCACAGGAGGAGGACGACGACGAAGAGGAGGAAGAGGAGGAGGCGGAGGAGGAAGAGCAGGACGAGGCGGAGAAGGAGGAGGAGGACGAGGAGCAGGAGGAGGAGCAGGAAGAGGAAGAGGAGTAGGAAGAGGAGGAGGAGGAGGAGGAGGAGGAGGAGGAGGAGGAGGAGGAGGAGGAGGAGGAGGAGGAGGAGGAAGGAAGACGACGAGGAGGAAGAGCTGGCGCCCCCACGCCTGCGCCGCGGCCAATTGCGCGGCCAGCGCCCCACAGTCCTCGCTGAGCCGCGCGGCCTCGGCGCGGGCGGCCGCCTCGGGCCGCGCGGACCTGCGGGAGGGCGGGGGCCGGCCCGCGGTGCGGGGCGGCTGCGGTTCGGCCGAGGCTCGGGTGCAGTCGGGCCTGGGCCAGAAGAACATCCGTCGAGAGCATTCGAGGCCTCCCAGGTAGGGTCCGAATAGACGGGGTCGGAGGATCGCGCCGCATCGGCGATACATCGGCGATGCATCGGCGATACATCGCCGATGCATCGGTAACGTCGGCGATGCACCGGCGCCGTCGACGCGAAGCAAATCGGGCCCCACATCGAGCTGCATCGGCGATGCATCGGCGATGCGGCGCGATCCTTCGACCCCATCTACTCCGACCCCATCTATGAAGCCTCGAAACATGAGAGCCTCCGCGGGCGCAAGCTGAAGGACATCCGAAAGTACCATCCCCCAGGATACACAAGAGCACCCAACGAGCACGAAAAACATTGCAGTCAACCCGTATAATAAGGATGCGGGATAAGGACGCAAGACGCCCGTTTCGAAATTTTTCGACCGGGGCACGGCCAACGAAAATGGCAAAGGATGGACCAAGGAGGCACGGATGCAAGGGTACCCCTTGAAATATATTGCCCACCCTTGCCAGGCGGGTTGACTGTGGGGCACCTTCCCCGAACCGACCACGTTCTTATACATCGGTCCGACTGTAGGTGGCGTCATTCGCACCCTGCCGACCACGCACCATCGATCGACCTACCTCCTGGGCGGCGACGACGCCCGCAAGCAGAGCCAGAACCGCCGCTTACGCGAAGACGTCGAACCCGACCTCCACCAACCATCGATTCTCCTGAATCGATGGAAGGCGGGGGTAGGGCTCGGACGTCGAGCGCAAATGGCCGCAGGACTTTGCGCGAGCCCCGACTGGGGGGCGGGGGGAAGGAGGGGGGGAGATAAAGGGGGTTGCGATAGCGCGGCGGGGAAGGGGAACCCAAGGGCTCGGTGGGGAAGCGGGGCGGGAGGAAGGGGGAGGGGGGAGGGAAAAGGGTCAGAACGTGAACCCCATAATTTGTCGAGCCGAAGCCCAAGGCCAAGAACGAGGCGAAACCGAGATTCGGCCCAGCCGAAACCCGGAACCAAGAACCGAAACCCATAATCTCCGGGGAGCAAAACCCAGAAACGCCGGCAAGCGAAACACGAAACAATCAGAGAAGCGAGGACCAGGAATCCTGAAAGCTGAAACCCCTCGAATCCGAACCCTCCGGAAAGACCGCGGATCCCTCAAACACGCATTGGAACAACACCCCGTCCTGACGAGAATTTCCTCAGCGCCACTGGGATCCGTCGATTGAAGAAGCACGCCGTCCGAACTCTACGCGCACGCATCGTCCTTCCAGAACATGCCTCGTTTACGGCAGGGAGTCGCGCAATGGCAAACGCAGCGAATAAGCAGATGCCCGACGCCGAGACAGGGAGACACACTAAGATCCGGAATAGCAGCAGATCCCGAGATGACAGGCGCAAGACAAAGAATAAGCAAACGTCGACAAGACTTTTGGCAGTGCCAAGAGCGACCACCAGTCGCGACTTTCACCACGTCCTCACGAGAACACCATTTGCTCATCTCTCCCTCCAGTCCCCCCAACGTTCAACCCCCTTTAGCAGTGCCTGGAAACCCGTCAGCCGCCGTTCTAACCTCCTCCAGCTCCACCCCCGTCGTCGGCTCACCTTCCTGTTTCCCCACCCCCCTCTATCCCAACGCCGCTCCCACTTCCGCGTCCTCCTCGCATCCATTCGCGTGACCACACACCAAAACACTTTCAAAACCACGCGCGCAAAGAAATCCCCGTGCTTCGGGTTGAAAACCAAAGCCACGCTGAGATTTCAATTTTAAAGCAGACGCGCCCGTCCGCGAATGCAGCTGATGACGCGACGACGGCGACGGCGACGTCGACGACGACGAGGACAACGCAAACAACCTACAACGACAACAACGAAGGCACCGACGGCAACCGACGGCTCGCGACCCCCGAATAACAAACAGCATGTCCGCCGACGACGACAACGACGCAAGCCGCCCCAATTAGTTCCAACCCTCGCGCCTCGAAGTCGTTGCCAAAGCCAATTGATGAGTTCACATGCACGATGAACGCACCCGTCCGCGAGTAGAGCGCTGACAACGACAGCGACGACGACGACAGGGACGGAAACTACAACAACAACAAAAACAACAACAACAACAACAACAACAACAACAGCAACAACAACAAAAACAACAACATCAACAACAACAACAACAACAACAACAACAACAACAGCCACAACAACAACAACGACGACAACGAAGACAACAAGAACAACCGACGACTGGCGACCAACGAGAAGGCAAACGAACATCGACGACAACCCCGTCGCAATCCGCCCTAATTTTGCCGTCGCCCTGCCTCGGGCTGACAACCAAAACCACTCCGATATTTCAATTGCAGGGCAGACGCGCCCGTCCTCAAATACAATTGATGACGCGATGACGGCGGTAGCGACGTCGACAACGAATAAGACAACACGAACAACCGACAAGCTGAACAAGAAAAGCGAAGTCGACAACCGACAGGTCGCGACGAACATCGACGACGACGACGACGACGGCAACGACGCAAGCCTACCCTATCTGTTCACACCATCGTGTTTCGGGTCCATGACCATAAACAATCCATGATTTCAAATCCACAGTGAACGCACCCGTCCGCGAGTAGGGCGCCGACAACGATAGAGACGACGACGACAAGGACGACGACTACAACCCAACAAAAAAATATATCCCGGCAAAGCAACCTAACAGCGATGTGTAAAAGCATATCTGAAAGCATTCCCCTTAAGATTCAGATGAAAATCCAGTTGTAGAATTCTGCTGTTCTCGCAGTCGTAGTCGCATTCGCGATGACAGTCGCAGCGGCAACGGCAGTCGCAGTCACAGCCTCAACCTCAGCCTGCCTCAGCCTCAGCCTCAGCCTGCCTCAGCCTCAGCCTGCCTCAGCCTCAGCCTCAGCCTGCTTCAGCCTCAGCCTCAGTCTGCCTTCAGCCTCGGCCTCAGCCTCAGCCTGCCTCAGCCTCAGCCTGCATCAGCCTCAGCCTCAGCCTCAGCCTGCCTCAGCATCAGCCTGCCTCAGCCTCAGCCTCAGCCTGCCTCAGCCTCAGCCTCAGTCTGCTTCAGCCTCAGCCTCAGTCTGCCTTCAGCCTCGGCCTCAGCCTCAGCCTGCCTCAGCCTCAGCCTGCCTCGGCCGCAGCATCAGCCTGCCTCAGCATTCAAAATGTGGCTCAGGAACGGAGTTCTGGAAACTAGAAGAACACGAAGTGGCCTACAGTTGGCTCCGGGCAATCAAAATGTGGCCCGGGAATGGAGTTCTGGGAACTTGAAGAGCACGAAGTGGCCTACAGTTGGCTCCGGGCATCCAAAATGTGGCCCGGGAATGGAGTTCTGGGAAGTCGAAGAACACGAAGTGGCCTACAGTTGGCTCCGGGCATCCAAAATGTTGCCCGGGAATGGAGTTCTGGGAAGTCGAAGAGCACGAAGTGGCCTACAGTTGGCTCTAGGGCATTCAGAATGTGGCCCAGGAGTGGAGTTCTGGGAGGTCGAAGAGCACGACGTGTGTGACTGTTTGCGAAAAACGAATGCGGCGGCAGCCGCGCCGGGTCCCGCCCCGGGTCCCGCCCCGACCCCCCTGAGGAGTTTTTTGAGACCACTAGAAACCTATCAGCAAGAGCTGTTAGGTAACAACGCAGACAACAACAACAACCAACGACTCAAGACCAAATGAGGGCAAACGACCATGGACGACAACCCCGACGCAATCCGACCTAATTTTGACATCGCCATGCCTCTAGCTGGAAACCAAAACCACTCGAGATTTCGACGTTAGGGCAATGGCGCCCGCCCGCCAATCAAAACGCCGACGACAACGCCAGCTTGAAACCGCCTATCTTTCGCGATGGAGGCCATTTATATATTATCCGCGGCATTGTTTCCCACTCGACCCCTCGGAGTCACAGACATGCAAGTCCCTCAAACGAGCAAGTATTTCTGTCCCGGAATCTCCCATGGAGGCCTGGACGCACCGCTACAATGTAACTCCAAGGAGTGTCCGAAAGCCTCCAGGACATTCCCAGGGATGCCATAGACAACCCGAACATGCCTCTCAACTACAATTCGAACAGGAATTGCCTGGGCATCGCATCCAGCTGGACCTCTCGGGGGCGCGGGAAGCGTCGAGAATACACCGAATACATCATCTGGATTTTGACAAGCAAGTGAACTTCCCAGCGGATCAGGCGTATAATAGTACAAGACGCTCTCTCTCTATATATATATATGTGTATATGTATATATACACATACATATACACTGATTTATAATCCAACATTTGGATTTCGACAGCCAACTTAACTTCCCAGCACAAAGATTGAAACCACCATGTGTGGCTCAGGCGTATCATATTACAGGACAAGTTGACCCCAGCATCTGGATTTCAACGACCAGACTCACATCCAAACAACAATCTTGAATCCAACTCTTCTGGATCAGGTGCAAAATATTCCAGACACACGTAGCCCGGCAGAACGAAAAGCGCGGGCGGACAGCGAAGAGAACGGCGACACCGCCCGCGCTTCAGCTCCACGGAGCGCAGTTTCGCGAAGCCCTCCTCGTCGCCACCCTGGAGACACGCACAAGGTCGAACTCCGCCACCGCGCCTTTGGGCACGGAGTGGACGTGTCCTCAGGTCATTAGAGACCCCGAGCCCCAATTTCCAAATCTCCCGAACCCCTGGCGTGCCGGCGCGACTTCCCGCGTGACTTTTTCGGCCACGCGAGGGCGCCAAGACAAGCCAAGAGAGGGCATCAAAGGGCCCCCAAGACGATCCAAGATGGCCCCGATTCACCGAAACATCGCCCCGAGACGCCCAAAATGACCTCAAGACAGCCCAAGAGGCCGCGAAGACGCTCCCAGAGGCCTCCAAGAAACCTTCCCAGAGAGAGCCCCAAGAAGCCAAAATCATTAATTTTCCAATTGTTTTTGAATGATTTTGGCGTTCTCAACTTCTCGGGTTCCCGACGCCCCCAGACGACCCCCGAAGCCGCCTCAAGACGGCCCAAGAAGCCTCCCAGAAAGCTCCACAACGGCCCACGAAGGCCCCGAGACAGCCGAAGAGACAACCAAGACAGCGCGAGAGGGCGCCAAGACGGCCCCAAAAGGAGCCCAAGAGAGGGAACACGAACCGAAAATCCAAGCTTTCCGCCCCAAGAGGCACCCAGGAAGCCCCAAGAGGCGCCCAGGAGGCCCAAAAAGGCCCCCAAGAAGCCCCCAAGAGGCCCCCAGGAGGCCCCAAAGGACCTCAATACGTCCCCCAGGAGGCCCCCGAACTGCCTCCAAAACAGCCCCCGAGAGACGTCCTACGAGATCCCAACGAACATTCCAGAGGCTTCGCACCCACATCCCAGGCAGCCCTCGAGGCAGACAGCCGACATGCCTCAAGTGGTACTTCATCGGTACCACTTGAGGCATACCACTGACATGCCTCAAGTGGTACCTGTTCGGTCCCAGTTGGGGCATAACCTATGTGCTTTCCAGGGGCCCCCAAGCACCCCCCAAAATACTGTCCACTGGCCTCGAATCCAGGCGCGGTGGCGTGATGGGCCGAAGGCCGCTAGATAGCCGAACGGATCGGCGGCCCACAGCTGCAGAGCCAGGTCAAAGGGTGAGGCGGGAGAACCAGGCGCGACGCTGTCGAGGGCGTGCTGCAACATAGCGGCGCCACGCAGCGACGCGAAGAGCGGCCACCTGCAGCTGCGCCGAGGGTTGCGCCGCGAGGAATGCTAGGGTGTCCGTCCTGAGAACATCCAAGCAATTGGGCTGGCCCTGTCTAACACAATGCACGCGGCATGAACCAAGCCGGCTACGGAGGCGAAAAGGAAGGAGCTCCCGCTCGCAACATCCTTACCAATCACTCACAGATAAGACCCCCCTCAAAACTTCCTCAAAATGAGTGTGCGAGCGTGCGTGGGTGAATGAATGAATGAGTGAGTGAAGGAATGTGTGCAACGTTGATGATGATGATGGGCGTGGCGATGATGACGAACGATAACCAGTGATTGCGATGAGATGATGATAGTGATGCCCTGGTGATCGTGATGACTCCGACATGTGATGATGAAAGGATGGCGCCAGTGGATGGACTGCGCGGGATGACCAGAGAAAACAGAAACCAAACTTAGGATGTGACAACAACAGCGCCATTGACATCAACTTCCGGATGCCCACGCGGATTTCCTCAATCGGCGCTGCGCCCCCCCCCTTCATCCTTAACTGTCTCCAGGCGCGCCGCCGGGAAAGAGCCCTGCCCCGATCCAGGAAACCTGCGCGGACCTCCAACAGTCTATGTTCACAGCGTGTTCTCTCCTTCGATTCTCGTTCACCGGCGACGACATTCACCCCGAACGCGCAGAAACGCGCGCCGAGCGCCGCTAATTACATGAGACCCACGTGCCACTTGTAGAACACGATCGTTGCGAATCCGTCGTCTGCAACGCCGAATTACTTGAATTGAAGACTACTTTGTAGCACTCGGGATGGTCAGGATACAGACCTCCAGGGACCTCCAATCGCCCTTGTCCACCTAGTCACCGTCACAACATTATGTTGTGCTGCTCTGCATCGTCCCAGACATTCCGGCTTCGCCCTGCCCAACACAAGGAGAAATCCTACAGTCTCTTTCTCATCCCAATTTCCATTCTAAAAATTTTCATTATTTCGTGCCTGCAGAAATTCCGGGTTTCGCTCCCAACCAAATTTCTGGGTTTGGGAAAGAATTCCGGGTTTCAATCGGAATTCCGGGTTTCGCAAACCAGGCCGAGCCGGGTGTCAACTCAAAAAAATCTGGGTTTGGAGCGAACTCCAAGGTTGAATTCTCGACCGAGGGAAAAGGGGGTGGAGGAGGGTAGGGGGAATTGATCGGGGGGAGGACGGAGAAAGCAGGGCAGGGGATGTCGCAATAAAGAGTGCGCGGGGAAAAGGAAAACGGATTGGGGAGAAGGGAGCCGGTGGCGGAAGAAGGGGAAAAGGGGGTCGTCCCTCGAAGCACCAGCCCCCCGTGGAGCAATGCAGCTAGCCAGAGGCATGGTTCTGTACCCTACCAGAAAGATTTTTTAGGAGCTCTCTCTGGCAACACGAAGAGTATGATGGCGTCATGGTCCGCGTAGCTCGCGACCCGATCTCATACGTGACCGTCCTCGCTGAGCCGACTTGCTAAATGCTCAGACCCCGAGACGGATCTCCCGATGCCGAGACAGGCTTCGCCCGCGCGCCCGTCGCGATGATGCCACGGGCATGACACTTTCGTGGGCCTGTTGGCCGCATCCCGGGCCCCTGAAAACCATCTGGAGAGACCCCAGCGCAGGAGCCGAGAGACTGCTGTCACGCGAGATGCGCCGCGCACGAGGCTGAGCTCGGGCATGTCCCCATACGGGCGGATTTGGGCGAAGAATAAAACATTGACAAAACATGCCCCCAACTACTAAACATGTTAACTAAACATCGTCCCCATAGTTTTTCGTACTATTTCTGGGACAGGCCCAACTTAACACGAGGCAGTAAGGCATGCGATTGAGAATCGACGAACATGCGCCGATCAACAGTTTGCCCTGGACTGGTCCAGTAGTGGCCCCAGACTGGTCCAAGGGACAACGCCTTGGGCCCCTCCTCTGCACGGCTTCCTCCGGGGCCATAGACGACCCGAGGAGGAGGAGGAGGAGGAGGAGGAGGAGAAGGGAAGGAGGAGGATAAGGAGGAGGAGGAGGAGGAGGAGGAGGAGGGAAGGAGGAGAAGAAGGAGGAGGAGGAGAAGAAGGAGGAGGAGGAGGAGGAGAAGGAGGAGGAGAAGAAGGAGGAGGAGGAGGAGGAGGAGGACGGGTCGCCTAAGCCCTTCGGAGAAACCCTCCACCCACCTGGGACCTCTTTGGAGCCAACTGTTGGCCAGCTTGGCCGATCCTCCTGCTCGCAGACCGGAGGTCTTTCGAGCTTCTTTCAAGGTCTCTGGAGGCCCGAGAGGGGCCAGAAACGCGAACCTTCTCCTCCTCATCCTCCTCCGCCTCCTCCTCTTCGATCCCCCGCCTCGCTCCACGATCATCCTCCTCGGTCATCGCCCTCCCCTCCTCGATCCTCGATCCTGCTCATCGAACCTCGAGGGCAGATACTCGATCCTCGATCCTCGCCCCCTCGATCCTCGACCATCCTCCTCGAACCGCGAGCGCCGATGCCCGATAATCACCTCCTCCCCTCCCTACCCGGGGCGAGGGCCTGTCGTGCTCGCGCTGGATCTCGACGGTGGTGCCCCACAGGAGCCGACGCAGCCTGGCCTGCTCGCTCTTGAGCTCCTGTCTCACCATAGGTGGCGGGGCGCGCGCGCGACGACGGCCAGCGGCAACGGGCTGCGTTCTGGCGCTCCGCAACACTCCCTCGCGTTCCTGATCGTCGTCCTCCTCGTCCTCCAAATCCTAGGGGAACGAACAATGAAATAAACATAATAACTCGGAGGTCCGCGCCGGTTTCTCGGTTCCGCGCTGGGGCCCCCTGGCGGCGTCTCCGGCGCCGCCCCTGGCGCGCTCCGCGCGCCAGGGAGGGGGATCCAGCGCCGATCCGAGAAATCCGCGCGGACCTCCGAGTTTTTATGTTTATGTCATTGTTCGTTCCCCTACTCGTGTTCCTGATCGTCGTCGTCCTCGTCCTGCAGATCCTGCGGTCAGGTCCAAGTTGCCAACCAACCAACCGCCTTGTCCAAACTTGGGAATTATCATGCGAAATGTCCTCCCAAAGGAGAAGAGACATCCTTTACCGAAGCAGTGTTTTGATCGTAGAGAATGAGCATCAAGTAGCTGTCTTCCAGTAAGCCACCTGTGTGCCGACACCGGCCATGGCCAGGCCAATCCTGGACTCAAGATTGGCGTGGTTAGGATCAGTCGGTGTTGATGATTCCCCAATCAGTGCTTGCACTGAAGGGGTCCTAGCGGAAATTGAAAGATTTGGCGAAACTGTCCCGCCGATTTTGGTGGCCGGCTGGGTTCCCGGGTTCCCTGTTCTGGGTTCCAAGGGTTCCTGGTTACTGGTTCCGGGCCGATTTCGGTGGGTTCCAGGTTCCCGGGTTCCCGGTCGATCTTCTTATCGATCAAAACATCCACTGATTGGGGTTTTATGATCAACTGGCGTCCTCCTGACCCTTCGTATCTTTTGGTAGGTGGTTCTCTCAAGCTATACACCACCTCTCGCGGTGTGTGCGTTGAGGGCAGGTGCACAGCAAAGCCACAGGAAAGCGTGGCATTGACAGCGTAGCTCCGCACACGTGACACATGTTGACGAGCAGGAACACGGCAAAGGCCCCCCCCTCCCCTCCCCCCTCATCCTCCTGGGCTCCTCGCACCCGAGCCACTCGGAGGACAGCACGGCCCTTACGCCCCCTGGAGAACAGCAGACCCATCGAGGCCCCCTCGAACTCCAGAGACCTCTAAAACAGCTCCAAAGGGATCCCCATCAAAACAACATCCATCCTCACTCCATCCTCCTCCCGTATAGGAACAAGCCACAATCTGAACATACACTTTTGGAGATCCGCGTGGATCTCTTGGACCAGTGCTGAACCCTCTTCCCTTGCACGCGGACCGCACCAAGTGCGGCGCTTGAGGTGCCGCTAGGGGGGTCCAGCGCAGATCCAGGACATCTGCGCGGACCTCCGAACATTTATGATGACACAGTTTTGGTAATCTTCGACGCCTCCTCGTAGTGAGACGCCCCCTGAACCGAACCTCTGCTGATGAGCGCACTCTGGCCAAGATATCTCGAGGATGGGCCCACGCCGTGACGCCGAGACCCTCACCCTGGGAGGGACAGGAGGCCCGAAGACGCAGAACTCCCTCCCTCCCCGACGCTCCCCCAACATGATAATGGGCGGGCGGTTTTCTGCCATTCGGGGCCTCCGGGGGCCCGTTTTGAGAACCCCGGGGCCGTCAACAAGCAACCCTCAGATAGGAAACCAGCCCAAGAGTTCTGTTATTCCCATCGTACGTAAGGACCACATCCCTAAAAAAATTTCGAGCACCTGGACAAGTGTCGAAACAGTGTCGAACAAGTATCGCCTCCCAGAGCACGACACGTGACCCCCCCCAGTTTCGGTACTTTCTTGGTGCTCGAAATTCTTTCTGGTGGTCAAGGCACAAGTAGGCTGGAACATCTTAACGCTAAAAGCATGCACAGCCCAGCGAAGCCCCCTCGAGTCGTCCGCGCAAGCCCTTGCTCCGTTTTGTCATCTCCTCGCACCACTCCTCCTCGATCTCCCATCGTCCCTCCCCCAATGTGGACCGTCCCGGAATATCCATAGATCTACCACGAAATGCTTGTTCTTAGAACCCAGAAATGGTCTAAGGACAGAAGCAAGGCTCTTAGAACACAAACCCGATGTGTTAAAACAAGACAGACCCAGCCAGAAATATTCTAAGAACAGTTCGTGCACACCCAAAAAGGTGATTAGAACATTCTCTGGTAGGCCTATAGGCGAGCCAGGATGCTTCGCCACTGCTTGAATGACAGAAGGCGGCTCGATGTGTTCGAGATGTGAGCCCCCGGGGCCTCTGGACCACCTCCCCCGAGGCCAGCCTGCCGTCCTGAAGCGTCATTCTGACGGCCCCTGCAGGGGGGGCCCGCTGGCTTCAGACCCGAGGCCCAGAGCGGCGAACAGAAACAGGCCGCCCGGGGGGGCCCGGAGCCCCGGGACATCTTGGCCGTGCCCGCGTGGGCTCCTCGCACTCGAGCCGCCTAGAGCACAGCGCTGCCCGCAGGTTCTGCAGCGCGCCCACCTGGGAGACTCCGGAGACCAGGCATCCAGAAGGGCCTGCACATCTTGGAGGGTCGATGCTCGCTCCCGCTGTAGGAGACGACCCCCGTCGCTTCCGCCGCCTCTCGCCGGCACTCCGCCGCTTACACGAGGCCGCTACGTGACTCGGGGCCGTCCAAGAGGGGGGCGTCCAAGAAGGGGGGCGCAAATCATGGCCGGCGGCACGTGCGCGGCCCAGAGGGGGGGGGGGCCAGGGACGAAATTGAAATAAGAAGAAGCGCCATGAAATCTGGGGAGATATCATGGCCCCCGCCATGACATCCCCCCCCCCTAGTCATCATCCCTCTCTTGGCCGCCCCTGACTGACATCGATGTCTTCAATTCTTCAACACGGGTTCCCAAGGAAAAGCCCCGATCCTTCTCCATGGGGCCTGCCTCTCATCGTCTGAGCCGCCAGTGGACGGTCCTGGGCCCCCGGCTTCCGGATGTCCAAAAAAGCGAAAACCTTCCGTCCCTGAGCATCGTTTCGCGGCTCCCCATCCCCACTGGCGTGGCCTGAGCCTCACTGGCCGACGTGACACCCCCCCAGATGAGGGTAGTTGTTAAGCTGCTCCCTTGGGAACTTCGGGAAGCACATTCCAAACGGGGATGGTGGGTGGTAGGGATCGGGAGGGGGACCCAGATATCCGATGTCGTATTTTTCAATGCGGGGTCCTTGGAAGTCTCGACCCATTCCCCAGGCAATCCCCGGGCCCAGCGAGGGCCTCTACAGGTCGACAGTGGCAGAAAAGCCTCCGCCTCGATTTTTTTCAGTGTAAACCCAAGAGTCATCAACGATGTTGGAATGAACCCTCCCTCCAAGCTCCCTCTTCATAGGCCCCTACAACGGTTCATGTCCATTGGAGGGACTGCTTCGTTGGAAGACAACCGTTTGAAGATCCTGAAGCATGCCAAAACATTGTTCAGGATTTCAACGCCACGGGTCAACCGGACTGCTGCGTCTTGACGATCCGGAATCGTGCCATAACGCCGTTTTTGGGACTTCAACACCGCGAATCAACATAGCGGTTGTGCCTGCATAATGCAGAATCCTTCCAAAACGCCATTTCTGGTACGTTGATCATGGGAATCCGTGAACTCCTTGCAAATGTTTAAAACGAATATCCGCGGCGCTAAGGCGAGAACCACATTTTGAAAAGGAGCCGCCCTCACTCCGTGAAGATTTTGCAACTGTTTGAAACAAACGTGCGCGGAGCTAAGGCGAGAGCCAAATTTTGAAAACCACCCGCCCCCCATCCGTGAAACTCTTGCTAGAACAAACGTGCGCGGCGCTAAAGAGAGACCACATTTTGACAATCACCCGCCCTCCATCTGTGAAGCTGATGCCACTTTCTAAGCTTCAGGGTCATGAATGGTGAGGAAGTCTCAAGCGAAACGCGCGGCCCGCCCTAAAAACTGGCCTCGGGGTGCGCCAGGGAACAGTTCTTGATGAGGAAGGAGAAGGAGTGGGGGAGGAGGAGGAGGAGGAGGAGGAGGAGGAGGAGGAGGAGGAGGAGGAGGAGAGGAGAGGAGGAGGAGAGGAGGAGGAGGAGGAGAGAGAGGAGGAGGAGGAGGGGGGGAGGGGGGGGAAGGGAGGAGGAGTATGAGCGGCAAGAGTCTCTCCCCAAGCTGCGTCCAGCAAGGGCGACGATCGGGGCTGCAGAACCGGCGCTCCCCACCTGGCGGTGGCGCTCCGACCCGAGCCGCGCTGACTCGCCCGCCTCCCGCGGGGCCGTCGACCGCTGCTGCGGCGTGGGCGCCGCGCGCTCCTCCTGGGCGCGGCGGCGGGGTCGCCGCCGCCTCGCCGCCGCCGCCTCGCCGCCGCGGCCCTCGGCGGCCCTCGCGCCGGTCCTCGGAGGGCCCTCGGCTGGCCCTCGGAGGGCCCCCCGCGGGGCCCTTGGGGGCCTCTCGGGGGCCCGCGTCGGCGGGCCCTCGCCGAGAGAGCCTCGCTCGGCGGCTCCACGGAGGCCCCCTCGGAGGCCCTCTCGGCTTTAGCATCTCCGCTCGGTGGCCCTCGGAGGACACCGAGCGCTCGGCGGCTCGCGGTGCGGAGGGCTGCGGCGGCCGTCGATCGAAGCATGCCGAGTGGGGGGTCGCGGTTCGCGGCTCGAGGAGGATAGGGGCTCGAGGCTCCAGGCCTCAGACCCCGCCGAGTGGTGACAAAAACACCTCGCCATGTGTTTGGCAATGTTTGGCGTCTGGGCCCCTTTACCAGGCCCCGGGCCCCTGAGTACTCGACGCGGAGATCCCCATATGTGCATCCCTTTCCCTAACACAGTCCGCTGTGAGCATCTGGCTGTGAGTATCTGGATGTGCGTGTACGTCCGAGTGGACGGCGGACACGATGACGAAGACGACGGCAACCCACAAACAGTCAGAGGCTGAGCAGGCCGCCCCGTCCTTCCTCTTCCTCCTCGTCTTAGCGCCTCCTTTGTCTTCCTTCCTTCTCCCTTCTCCCTCCACCTGCGTCTTCCTCATTCCTCCTCCTCCTCCTTCTCACCTCCTCCTTCTCCTCCTCCTCCTCCTCTCCCTCCAGCGTCCTCCTTCTTCCTACTCCGTCCTCCCTCCTCCTCCCTGGCAGCCGTCATTCTCCCTCCTCCTGCGTCCTCCTTCTCCCTTCTCCTCGTCCTATCTCCTCCGCCGTCCTCCTCCCTACTCGTTCCTGGCAAGTACCCCCCCCTCCTTGGCGGCGGCATCCTCCCCTCTCCTGCCTCTTCCTCCTCCGCTGGGCCCCTCCCTTCTCTTCCTCCCTCCTCACTTATCCTTCCTGTTGCGTCCCCCCGTCTCCTCCCTGGTTGCTGTCATTCTCCTTACGTCCAGGTGATCCTGGGGCTCTGAGTGGACAAGCGTCAAAAGTTCAAGACCAGCGAGCCGCTCGAGAATTCCCAGCAGTCCGGCCGCGAGCGGGCGAAGGTTCTCCTCCCCGGCGGCTCCTCCTTGGGGCGCTGAAACCAGCGCATCGCCGGAGACATCTTCACACTTTGCTCTGTAAATATCGGGGCGCGGTCGCCAAATCCATCGATCGGGGAAGATGCCCTCCCCAAAACGCAGCCAATGCCGCCTCCTCTGGCAGCGGGAATCCGCGATTTCCCGTGGAAACGGGACCCGTCGCTAATCCACGCCCCCTTAATCCATGTTTGCGATCGCCTGAAGGAGCCTTAGACACAAAACGAGCGGAACCGCTCGCGACATGCCCACGATCTGGCTGCGAGCAGGCGACTGCCTCTCCCTGGCAGATCCCCCGTTGGGGTGCTCAAGCCAGCGCCTCGTTCGAGACCTCCTCACGGTGTGATTAGAGCAAGGGGGTCTGAGCCACCATGCGAACGATCTGCCCGAGACGTCCCCACGATCTGGCTGCGAACGGGCGAATCTCCTCCTCCCCAGCGGCTCCCCCTTGGGGTGCTCAAGCCAGCGCCTCGCTCGACACATCCTCACGACCTGCTCTGCAAGCAAGGGGGGCCTCAGCCAACGAGCGAACCGCTCGGCACATCCCCACAATTCGGCCTTGAACGGGCGAGCGCCTCCCTCCCCAGCGGATCCCCAGGTGGCGTGCTCCAGCCAGTGCCTCTCGAGACATCCTCAGTCTGCTCCGAATGAAAAACAATCTGAGCCACCAGACGGGCGGCTCGCTCGAGGTGTCCCCACGATCCGGCTGCGAGCAGGCGAATACCCCTCCCCACCCCTGGTAGCTCCCCCTTGGGGCGCTGAAGCCCCAGCCTCGCTCCAGACATCCCCACAAGATGTTCTGAAAGCAAGGGGGTCTGAGCCACCAGAAGAGCAGCGACCCGCGCGAGACATCGCCACGATCTGGTTGCGAGCGGGCGAATGTTCCCCAACCTGGGCGCCCCCTCGTCGTCCCCTTGGGGTGCCCAAACCAACGCCTCGCCCGAGACATCCGTCCTCACAATCCGTATTAAAAGAAAAGGGGTCTGAGCCACCAAACGAGCGACCCGCTCGAGACGTCCCACCATTTTAGCCGCGAGCGTCCGAATATCACCCTTCCTGGCGGCTCCAACATAGCGAACTGAAGCCAACCCCTCGTTCGAAGCATTCTCACAATCCGGTGTGAATGCAAACCAAATGAGCGAACCGCTTCTCTCCATCCCTCCCTCGTTCGCAGCCCTCTCTCTCTTTCTCTCTCTCTCTCTCTCTCTTCTCTTTCCCACACCTCCACACGTCCTCCTCAGCGTTCCTTCCCTTTCTCCTCCTTCACCTCCTTCGGCCTCCCAACCTCCCCCTTCCCCCCCCCCCACCTCGGTCCTGCTACTCCCTCTTTCCCCCCACACCTTCCTCTACCTCCTTCGCCTCCACTATCCTACAGCTGCTCTGCCTCCACCTCCTTTTTCTTCCCCTCCACCTCCTCCTCCTCCTCCTCCACCTCCTCCTCCCTCATCGTCCCATCTCTTCTCCTATTTCCGCCCTCTTCCTCCACCCCTCCGCCCTCATTACACTTCCTTTTTCATTTTCTCTCCTCCTCTCTCCGCATCCACCATACTCCCTCCTCTCCGCTCCTCCTCCCCTCGTCCTTCACCCACCTCGTCTTCCTCCTCCTGGTCTTCCTCCTCTTCCTCTTCCTCCTCCTCCTCTTCCTCCTCCTCCTCCTCCTCCTCCTCCTCCTCCTCCTCCTCCTCCTCCCTCTTCGTTCCATCTCTTCTCCCACGTCCGCCCTCCTCCTCCACCCCTCCTCCCCTTTTCTGTATCCTTGCTCATCGGCTCTCCTCCTCTCTCTCCATCCCCCACACTCCCTCCTCTCCGCTCCTCCGCCCCTCGTCCTTCACCCGCCTTGTCTTCCTCCTCCTGCTCCTTATCACCTCCTTGTGCCCTCCGTCAGAGACGCCAGGCGGAATGTCCATGAATGTCCCTCCTCCTCCTCCTCCTCCGACTGCTGCTCCTCATGCTGCTCCTCATCCCTCTCCTCCGCCTCCTCCGCCTCCTCCTCCTGCTCCTCCTCCTATCCTCTTCCTGCCGCTCCCTTCATGCTCCCTTCTTCCTGCCGCTCCCTTTGCGCCCCCTCCAAGGACAACGACGACGACAAAGATGCTGACGATGACAACGAATCCGACAACGCCGATGGCGCATATGACGACGACAACTCCTCATAATCCACCGAAACTGCAACAACCAAAAGTATCACGCGCCCTTCCTCCGGAACAACAACAACAACAACAACAACAACAACAACAACAACAACAACAACAGCAACAACAACAGCAACAACAACAACAATAACAACAACAACACCAGCATAAACAACAACAACAACAACAACAACAACAACAACAACAACAACAACAACAACAACAACAACAACACAAGGACACTCTCTCAGGCCACCCCGGCGGGGCCCGTGGGTGTGTCCTCGCCCCCGGGGCGAGCGCACTGCCCCAGGCCACACGTTGCAGTTGTTGCCCCGGGGGGGGGGGGGAGCAACGCGCAACACCTCTGTCATACGCTAACGTAAATCTATATGTGTTTCCGAAGCTCCGTTGGCTCCCATACTGTTCCCCACGCACTCCTGTGTCCGAACACCGACTACGCGCCAGCGAGGCCAGCTCCTCCTCCTCATAGGACTCCTATGGAATCGCGCAGGACCCTGTAAGGATCCTATAGGATCCCTATAGGACTCCTATAGAATCGTGCAGGACCCTGTAAGGATCCTATAGGATCCTTCTAGGGTTCCTATGGAAACGTGCAGGACCGTGTAAGGATCCTAAAGATCCCTCCAGGGTTCGCATGGAATCGTGCAGGACCCTGTAAGGATCCTATGGGATCCCTCTACGGTTCCAATGGAATCGTGCAGGACCCTGTAAGGATCCTATAGGATCCCTCTAGGGTTTCGATGGAATCGTGCAAGACCCTGTACGGATCCAATGGGATCCCTCTCGGGTTCCTATGGAATCGTGCAGGACCCTGTAAGGATCCTATAGGTTCCTCCTCTATAGGACTCCTATGGAATCGTGGAGGACCCTGTAAGGTTCCTATAGGATCCCTCTAAGGTTCCGATGGAATCGTGCAGGACCCTGTAGGGTCCTATAGGATCCCTATAGGATTCCTATGGAGCAGTGCAGGACCCTGTAAGGATCCTATAGGACCCCTATAGGTATCCAATGGAATCGTGCAGGCTCCTGTAAGGATCCTATAAGATCCTTTTAGGGTTCCGATGGAATCCTGCAGGGCCCTGTGAGGATCCTATCGGATCCCTATAGGGTTCCGATGGAATCCTGTAGGACCCTGTCAGGATCCGATGGGATCCCTAGAAGGTTCCTATAGAATCGTGCAGGACCCTGTAAGGATCCTATAGGATCCCTCCAGGGTTCCCATGGAATCGTGCAGGGCCCTGTAAGGATCCAATCGGATCCCTTTAGGGTTCTTATGGAATCGTGCAGGACCCTGTAAGGATCCTATAGGATCCCTATAGGGTCCCCATAGAATCGTGCAGGACCCTGTAAGGATCCTATAGGATCCCTATAAGGTTCCAATGGAAACCTGCTGGGCCCTGTCAGGATCCTAGAGGATCCCTCTAGGGTTCCGATGGAATCGTGCAGGGCCCTGTATGGATCCTATCGGATCCCTCTAGGGTTCCTATGGAAACGTGCAGGACTCTGTAAGGATCCTATGGGATCCCTCTGAGGTTCCGATGGAATCGTGCAAGACCCTGTAGGGATCCTATAGGTTCCTCCTTATAGTACTCCGATGGAATCATGCAGGACCTGTAAGGATCCTATAGGATTCCTATAGGATTCCTATGGAATCGTGCATGACCCTGCACGGA